AAAATTTCGGGCATTTCGGGCGGGCTCGGGCCGCCGAATACAAGCCCGCGGCCCGTTCAAGGTGAAATTCGGGCTCGGGCGGGCGGCCCCAAAATCTCGGGCGGGTCGGGTTCGGGCTCGGGCAAATCCTCGGGCTTTTCGGGCGGTCGCGGGCGGCCCGTCCAAAGTTCCAGCACTAATGATAGCCTATAGCTCTAAGCCCTTTTTAACTTTCATAGCCTGCCCCTCACCACTTTTTGACCCTTGATAAAAACTCAGACACCTTAATATCTTTTGCCGGATCAGTCAGGTAAATAGTGTCCGCCAACGGAAGACATTTCTTAATAATATAATGTTTGGTGATATTTATATATTGTAAAATTTAATACGAGATTTAAAATTAATACAATATGAATTGTGATAATTAACACGAAAAAAACCTATGTATTTGATCATATTATACAATTTAACTTAAAATATTATATCAAAAATATATAAAATATTTCACAAATATCAAGACTTAAGGTTGGGTTTTGAGGCTGACGTTGGGGTCGAGTTTTAGGACTGGAGTAATGTTAAGTTTATATTTTGATCCCTTAATTTTTCAAAAATTGTATTTTGACCCTTATACTTTTTAAAAAATTATGTTTTGACCCCTCATTTTTAAAAAAAATTATATTTTGATCCCTTTTAAAATAATATTTTTCCCCTTATTTTTTGAAAATTACTATTTGACCCCATTTTTCAAAATTTTTTTTTTTTGCAAAAAGACCTCTATGTAGCAACTATACTTTCTCCCTTACTTTCTCCAAATGTTGGGTTCGGGTTGAGATTAGAGTCGAATTATGTTACGATTTTGCCTAAATTTGATCTTGTTACAAATTAATACGTAAATAGATTACAATGGTAAAAATAGTATAATGTTTAATAATACCACAAACCAAATACTGTATTGTATAAAAATTATACAACGTAATACAATACTATACGATATAATACAATACAATACGGTGCACTAAACATGGCCTAAAGGGAGTAACATTCACTTATGCTGTTTTAAAAATGAGAAATTTCCCTGCATAAAAAAGATATAACTTTCCTTCCACGTGAATCTATTGAGTTAGAATTTGAGTGAAAGAGAGACGTACTAATTTGAAATTGCAAATTGAGGTATAGATTCTACTTAGAATTGTCGTTTAGGTTTACTTAAGATTAAGATTACGATATACAAATAGAGTTGGAATTCTTTGGGAGAACAACCAAGCGAGGTGTGCGTATGCACTTTATTTTGAATATTTATCATGATCAAGCCAAACGACAAAGACAAAACAGCACAAACAAACAAGGAAACATCTTATCTCACAGCAGTACTGACCACCTTATATAATACATTACAAACTACGTCTTCTGATAATTGGAAGAGAAACACGTGAAATGAAAAGCCAAACGACGACGAGTACACTACAATCCAAACACGACTCATAATTCATCCCTATAGAGTAAAAGCTGCAGATAATATTGCTAGAAGGGTCAAGTCCCATGTCGCTTCTGCATTATTATTATTATTGATATTATCACGTCAAGTCTTGAAGCTAACTAGCTAGCTAGCGACGGAAGCTCCTGACTTCACGTACCGGGAGTTCGACCTCGTCGTCTCGGAGCTTGACGGTGGTGTAAGTAGCGGCACCAGCCAGCGCCCCAAGTGTCGGCGCAACCATGAATATCCAAAGTGCCCTGTAGTTTCCGGCGGCCACGGCTGGACCCAAAGTTCGAACCGGGTTCATTGAACCCCCACTTGCTGGCCTGCATTGCCAATAATACCCAAAAAAAACACACTCTCAATTTCATCGCCACATTCACCGATCATTATATCGAAACTGTCACGTCTTAATAATGCGATCCAATAATAATACAATGTAATAACACATTATCATGAAGATGATATTTCTCAATTGTATGTCATTATTGATCACGCGCGTCTATCAATTAGCAACTTTTGTCTTCCTAGTATAGTGTTTTGATGAATAATTGCATTTTGTTTTTCTAGCAGCTGGTTTGTTGCCAGCTAGCTATTCGTATACATGCGGCTCATATGATTACAAAATAGATAGAATACTTTCGGTACATATATAGAATCTTTTCGAGTTTTTCAAACACTTGTGACCGCCCATTAAACTACAATAATGGTATTGAAGGGTCACCCTTAGTTTCCGTGATATGATCTGATAATGAAAGTTAATCACACGATCAGGGGCTACCTATCTATAAAACAGACAAGCCAGATTGAGTGACTGACTTGTATACTTCTATCTCATCAATCATTTCTATTTATTTCTTTCTGCTTTCATTTATCCTAGTAAAATGTTTGGACATCAGCAATGTCCAAACTCATTATTATTATTATTATAGTTAATTAACAAAGGAAAATTTAGCAACTTACTCTATCTAGCTAATTCAAAGTTAATTTTAGATGCAATAATAATATCGTTCAAGGACTTATCTTGTCTTTTTTCAGTAAAATTTTTTACCATGTCGGCAGCGTGGACCAAACGCATCAAGACATGGACATATATAATTGAATATTTGAAAAGAAAGGTGATAAGAATCAATTATTTCCCACCAATATTAGGAAAAAAAGAAAATGTTATATAAATTAAGAGGGTGAGAAAATAGGAAAGGCCGAATACTATTTGATTACCCTGCAATTAGAATGTTAAGCATAACTGTAGCTCCAACTGCAATGCCCGCCAATTCTCCTACCTGTCACATCAAGAACCATCTATAGCATTAAGATTGCTTTTGGTTAAAGGCTGAATATATATGATTATCGCTTAAATTGCAGATTTGAAATATAACGAATTAGTAATTAATGTAAATTCTGAATAACAATCTATAATTGTCAAGATTTAAAAATATTTGTAGAAACTTTTCATTTGTTTTATAATTATATTTCATTCATAAGAAAAGATAATTAGAGTTAATTAAACATACCGCACGAGTGTCGGTGGCAACTGCAGTGACAACAAACAAGAGATTGAAGGAGATCACGAACTCGAGCACAAAAGCCTGGCCGTCGCTAGTGGTGGGAACGGTGACCCCACCGGACATGAAGGGATGGAAAACTGCCTTGAGGAGGAATGAGGCGCAAATGGAACCTGAGACCTGGGCCACAATGTAGCCGGGGACGTGGGCCCAAGGGAAGTGGCGCAACGCCGCGAAGGCGATGGTGAGAGACGGGTTGAGGTGCGCGCCGGAGATGTGGCCCGTCGACAGGATCACTATCATCACCGCTAGCCCCGCGCAGGCAGCGTTGCCGATCAACGTCTCGGCGCCATTGTACTTTTGGTTCACGATGGGGCCGGCTGTTGCGGCGAATATCAATATGAAGGTTCCCACGAACTCCGCTCCTAGCTATTTATGTATAGATAAATAAATTTGACGAATGAGCAAAATATCCATGAATTTAAGATTTTATGTTAAAACTAATGATGATTATTATATAAAAAATTTAATGAGGATTCTTCTTGAATTTTTTCAATATTCATCAAAATATTCTTAATTTCAAAGTATTGATATTGTTCATAAATATCTATAGTCGTGCTCTTGCATATATTACTGGATCAGTTGTGTGTACAATATGGCTTGTTTCATATATATGTACATTCTTTTTACCGTTTTTAGCTTGTTTTATTCTCAGTATCCAATTAGTCCTTCTGTACGTAATTATTTAAATCACTTGTTGGTATTTGCAAAAATAATGCAAATTGTGAATGTGTTGGTTCAAAGATACATATTACAAGGTATATATGAGTATGTAAGCAACGAATTATATGTGAAGCATGCATAATTCACTGTTATTACCTTCTCGCATCATTGATCATGTTTAGTATCTTTATATTTTCGAAACAAGAGAATTTGACTACCTTTTATAAAATCAATGGAATCTATTATTTATTGGATATTTCGACTTAAGTACAAGTACTGGCTTGTTCATCACCCAAACTTAAAAAAAAGTTTGAACTCAAATTATAACTTTATTTAAGTTCATGTTCTTTTGTAAAATTTGAGTTTGAACTTGAATTTTAATTTAAGTTTTAACTTGAGTTTGAGGTTAAAATTTGAGTTCAAGTTCTCCATTTAATTTAAGTTCCTAAACTCAAACTCAAGTTAATAAATAGTATTTTTTATTATTAAAAACGCTATAACTTTTTCGTTTTAATTTCGATTGAGATGATTTTTTTTAATGCGTTCACAACTACGAGACGAATAAAACCCCACCCATATACCCTATTAAAATTTTCCATCACCATCGAGTTCTTATTAAAATACTATCCAAATACGAATTTAAGTTTTAACCCACCTAAAGATAAACTCAAATAGATTCTCAATTCAAACTATAACTCAAAATGTGCACATTTAAACACAAATCAAATTAGAGTCCAAACTCAAACCATACTTAAATACACCTTAACTCAAATTAAAATTTGAACTCAAGTCAGCTTAACTCAAAAAATACAAATGAACAAGCACTTGTAAACTGAAATATGCATATTATCGGATCAATATGCTTGCGCTATTTGTTCACGATTTGGATGGACGAATTCAGTGAGATTTTTTTTTTCTTTCAGTTTTTTAGATTGGCACGTAGCATTAATTTTCCACTAATCTAGGTAATTAGTTACAAGCCAATAACTAAAACAAAACATGAAACTAACTACCACCTATATTTCTTGGATTAGACATTGCTACATTTTATGCATTGATTTGAACTCTCGGATTAGACATTGCTCGCAACTATTAAATTGAAGTATCTAATTTAACAGATCTGAAAAGTAATAGAAGCTTGCAAATAACTACGAGCTCGAAGCTTTAAGCAAATAATAGAAACTTGCAAACTTGAAGAAATAGAAACTTGCAACTATTAAATTGGTATTGCAAATAACTACGAGCTTGGCACATACATACATGTATATATATGTGTGTGTGTGTATATATATATATATATATAGAGAGAGAGAGAGAGAGAGAGAGAGAGAGAGAGAGAGAGAGAGAGAGAGAGAGAGAGAGAGAGAGAGAGAGAGAGATGTATAGTACCTTCCGAGTGAGAGAGACATTTGGAGCAGGGAAGTCGGTGATGAGGCAAGTATGAGGTTCGCCCCAAGTTGCAACGCTGACAGGCAAGCATTTGCATCTTGGCATTGACTTCCGATCATACGACAGGGAATCCACTCTTCCCACCGGAAACAGAGGAGCTGGCGTCCCTGGTGTCGGCGGAGCCGACGTCGGTGTTCCTACTTCCAATTCTGGCATACTGATCCTTTCTTTTTTGTTTTTTTTTGTTTTTTTTTTTTTTATGATCTTAAATTAACAAACAGAAAAAGCAAATTTTTTTTTTGGTGATTTTTTAAGGTAGGATTTTGGGAATTAAAGGAGATGTTAATTACATGCTTAATCAATTTTTATAAAGGTATAGCTATAGAATAAGTTTAACCTCCGCCAGTGTGGGTAACACTACTTAATTAGCAGAGAGGATAATGATCATGAAGATAGATGTAACGAATACTCAATTTAACTTTTTTTTTTTTTTTTTTTTTTTAAGATTTTTGGGTTCTGGAAGGATTGGGAAATATATTTACATGATTTGCAGGGTTTTTATGAATGTTCTGCTAAGGAATAAGAGAAACGGGGAAATCCAGGTTGTAGACTACAACTGAGCAAATTTAGAAAGATAAGATTGATCTCTTCATAAAATGAACACAGAAAATATACAACAATATTAGTTGTTTCTTTTTTGGATCATGAAGATGTATAATGTGAGATATTTAGGGTGAAGATGGCAGATTCAAATTTGGCAAAAGAAAGATGGCAAGAAGAAGAAGAAGCAAGTACTTAAAAGCTGAGAGCTAAGAAAGAAGTGAGATGGGAAGAGAGAAAACAGGAGGGATTCTTATAGCACTAAGATTGATATATGAAGTTTAGTAAAGAAATTAACAAATCAATAATATTACTTAATAAAATAATTATTTTTTTCCAAAAGAAAAAAGAACAGACATATATGGTGGAGGCTGGAATCTGGATCAGGTAGGGAAGGTGTAACGATGAAATCACTGTTTGTTCCAAATTATATGGTCACGCATTATTACTAGTATTATTATAAAATACAAAACTAGCGAGCGAACAAACTAGCCTAGGCCATCCAATATGCATAATAATGCGCATGTCTTTTTCTAAGATGCTAAAGTCAAATGGCAGGTCCCATCTTCTTTAGTACAAAACTACATTCCTACAAAACTGTTAAATCCGTTTTTGGCAATTTCCCGGATATAATGAAAGTCCAACTAAAAAATTACCGAAAGAAGTAAATAAATAGGCACAAGAAATTATTATTGCGGTTCAATAACCACCTATATTCGCGGGGCAACGCCCAAACAGTGAACAATACACTAAATATCAATGATTATAATTACCAATTAGACTTATACACTCATAGACTTCATCTTCGACAATGTCATCGTTATGTCGAATCTACTTGATGACCTTGTCCAACGAGCATCACTTGTCTTCAAAAACTGCACGTGGAAATCCCTTCGTCTGACAGGTCGCTATCTCCCGAAAGCTTCAAATTCTTCTCTCGAAGAACGATAAACTGTTGAACTCCCTTCAACATTGCAAATATGTTTTCCCGAAGACTACTACTTCTTCACCCGAAGAATGAATGGTCTTGAGTTCTATTTATAGAACTTTTATTCTTTATCGTCACGTTGGCACAATCCAAGTCAAATTAAAATTATCTTCATAATTATCTCTACGCTTACTCAAAATTCAAACTGTCGCACAATCTGTTCCACGACTTATTGCAACATTATCTAATCTTTAATTTAAAATCCGAACTCAACAATTGCTCTGATGATCTCTACTCTATCTTCATACACGTCTTTTGTGTATTATCTTTTATAAAAATGCACAACCTAAAACTTTTATCTTGTTGAGACCAAATCTTATTTTTAATTGAATTTTAATTCAATTCAATTTCGACTAGGCTCATCTCATCAAATCTTCTATAAAACTTTGACTCATTATTTTTATCTTTTCAACAACTTTTTTTTTTTTCTGGAACTCATCACTTAATCTTGAAATTCAAATGCTTTAATCAGATAAACTTGCTCAATACGTCACCATCTTTTCAAACCTGTTTTTTGAATTTTCCTAAAAAACCATTGTAAAAAATTGCCAATTGAAATCCTAATAAAAACAAATTACTTTACACCTATATACTTAATATTCTCGAGTCACTAATTAGCACGTTTATGAATGCTATGCTTAGTCATAAAATTCCCAGAAAGATCTAAGTTATAAAGTGCTAAACCTGGTTCTTTTCTTTTCTCTTTTAAAATTTAATCTCCTCGGAAAAAAGGTCAACCAGCTTGAGTTAAGTATACCTTCACACACAAATTAATGTATGAAAACTTATAATCGTATTCAAGAAGAGATACAATATGATATATATTAATTAATTTAAGGTTGCAAAAAAAAAAAAAAAAAAAGTGAACCTCAATACACACTGTCTTATTTTTCTAGTATAATATTGCACCACCAATCACACCGTATAAGACACTGGGTACAACATAAGCACTTTAGACTTCTAATATAGGGGAAAGTGCTATGTATAATATGTTTCTTAATTAAAAGTAAAGCTAGCTCTAGCTAAGCAATTAAATATGTGCTTATGCGCTTTTAGCAAATTTACGTGAAACTAAAACCTAGTAATTAATAAGGAATATATCCTTGTTTTAATCTTGTGTGCAGATTCCAAAGCGTACGTACGACTCGTCATTCATCTAAATAAGCAATATATATATATATATATATATATATATATATGTATGTATGTAGAACAATATTGCTATATAATTCTTATATATTGTGATGATGGCCAGTAGTGTTCTTTTTTATTTTTTGATAAAAGATTGTCAATATTTGTCGTTTTAACCAATAATGTTACTCTCGTGATCATAAGCTCATGAGTTGCGGCCTCTAGTGAAAACAATAATACAGATCTAGACGTCTATGGTTTTAGTTAAATGAATTAATTTGTTCTTCCCTCTTTAAAAGCATCAAATTAAAATAATAATATTCTAATATTGGCTAAAAAAACATGTTTAGAAGCCATAGCTCAGACATCATTAGAGTTAAAACAAAATCCCATCTAAAATAATGCTTTTCAAAGAATATTCCTTAACCACTTAAACACGCACTCAAATTATGGTTTTAATGCGTCTTGCCAAACTTTAATAAAATCGCAGTACTATCATAATCAAGAGAATACTTGACTTCCAAGTTCTTAATCACGTTTTAGCCTGTTCATTACTGTGCTTATAACTTACTTGCAATTATGAAACAAGCATATTTTCAGCCTGATTATGTGCTCACTGAAAGCTTATAAACCTATCATTACTTTTATTGAATTTTGAGCTATAGGCGGTTTTCATGTGTGTCTGTCTTCTTCTCGATGACTACTTCTTTATATGCACTATGAACTTATTGGAATATAGATCCCCAAGTCACACATGAGCAACACTTGCACAGCATTGGACATTACTTTGACAAGACTAATTAAGATTTATTCCAACTTTTTTTTTTCTTTTTTCCTTTCCCTAAGAAACTTTAATTAATTGATTTCTTTTTTTCATGGCTACAAAAAAAGTGGTGAATGAAAATTCAGAGCGGGAAAATTCTCATTCCATGATAATAGAATATTATTTGTGGCTTGAAAAAGCCGAGACGATGACATGGAAATATTGAAATTAGTTAAACATTTAAGTGGATTCAGGGAATATCATATATATATATATATATAGTCTTGCGGGCCATTTAACAATCAGCTTTTGTTTAAGAAATTTGCCAAAGTAAGACCAAAAGTTGTTTGAGGAATAATTATGTCCATAAAATAAATCAGATTTGAAGGATAAAGTGCGAACCAACTTTTGATTTATTGCTGTGTCATGATTTCATGTGAGAAAGGTTGGAGTGGGTTGACCACTTATGTACTCCTTCGCTTTCAATCTTTATATTAATGAACAGAGCCTATAAATTGGTAAGAATGTTTAGATGTTCACAACCAACACCTTTTAATTGGTGGGTTCGTGGTTGTTGAGTAGAAGATACTCCACATCAATTATAACTGCTAATTATCATTATTCTCAACAATTATTTATATAAAAAGAAGATCCACTCGATCGACCACTTTTCTTAATAGTATTGATATCATGATATATCTTTAATCAATTCCATCAGGATCGTTCTTTATGTGTAATGCCAGCCACAATCATACGAGTATAGCCAGCGGTACCAATTACCAACACAACAAGCTTTATGGTGAGATCACTAGAAGTTTCTTTCCATATTCCAAAAGATGTACCGTTTTCTTTCTTTCTTTTCTTTTCTTTCTAAAAATGTTTCAAAGACATGGACAGCCACAGCTTTTTATGCCGAGAGAAATCATTCTCTCCAAAGAAATATTAATCAGTAGCCACATCTTTAGAAAGAGAGAAAAATGATTGGTTAATGACATGTTACTCGTTTTTAGAATTTAGAGTACGAAAATTCGAAGAAATTTGGCACACTTCTAACACTACTATCGTTAGAAGTAAAATTGTTAGGGTACCATTACTAGCTAGTTATATATATATATATATATATATATATATATATATATATATATACCTATAACTATGTGCATACTATATATGTATGAAATGGATCACATTCTTACATATACGTACATGAGTTAATGTAGTGTCCAGTCTAGTTAGACTTTATCGTCTGAAGAGGCACAAATTAACGATATTACATATTCTTTTCTCCAACCACGTCCTATTTCTGATGTTACCATTAATTAATTATTAATGTTATCAATCACTGTTATAATTAATTAATTAATTATATAGCATTTGCCTTTTTTTTTGTTTTTTCAAATGAAGTGGCCATTAGGCATCCAAAGAGATGGAATGATGAGTTATCACAATCCTAATTAGTGCAAATCATGATATTAGTTTAGTTTATTAAAAAGGAAAAATAAAGAACATAGCTCTATTGAGTGGATCACATCGTATCTGTTCCAGGTTATTCTCACGGCTAATTATTGGAGCACAACCTAGTTAAAACCATTAATTTACTTATTACAATTTCTTTAATTGTTGCAATGCGCATTATTTCCAGTCTCAAAACTGAAGAGTCAAGCCAATAACCATTAGGTCCAACAATATCTGCGAACTTAGATTTGGAAGAGCACAGATTCAATCCCGCATTGAAAAGAAAATGAAGGAAAAAAAAAAAACTGGATAGTCAAGCTACGAGAGCCGGCATCTAACCTAGGGAACTCTAGGGCTAGGTGCTTAATTGCTGATCATCTTGCAGACAGGGTCTTTATATGTACGGATGTATAATGATCAAATTCATCTTAAAAAGGAAATGTATGATCATCAATCAAATTGTCACCCTCCTAACGTCAGATAGTTTAAAGATATTGCCTTTGAGAATTAAAGTTGAGTTTGTGAACTTGCCTACAACTATGCTGTTAAGTAATAAAGACGATAATATTTACTCATGCCGATTATCGAAGTTGACTTATATCATTTAGTTTATAGGTTTAAATTAAAAAGTTTGAATCAAAATTTAAATTTTTATAAGATAAAATTCTTAGCAAAAAGGTTTAAATGTAGTTTAAAACCGTGAAACTCTTCCCTATGAGCTATGGGGGAGTATAATGCGACAAGCATACACAAAAAAAGAGATGAGAGAGAAAAAGATGGACAAAGAGCATAATCAGTATTTTAAATTTCAGTAAGTGGGATTCCCTGTTTGATGTTTCTGAGTTGTGAGTGG